AGAGGGTTTTGCAAGCCAAATTCAAACATAGATACATTATAGCTATGATACTTCCAATATCTACATAAACTGTTTTACCCGTGGTTTTCTGGGATTCTTCCAGAAGTCTGAAATACAACAGGTGATGTTCTCCCTTTCCAGGGGAATTAATTTATCGGCACTGAGTTAAACAAAGAATCTGAGAAACATATTAACTTTGTGCAGAAGAAAGCTAGTTAGGGGCGAGATGTACTTGAGGCAACTCTTTTTACAGCTAAATACTGTTAAACCTGGGCTAGGCGTGCACGTCATATCCATGGTCAAGATGCGATGTGGTCCTCGTACTCCATATCTTGCTCTATTTGCCACCCGTTTGACACTACTGGCTTCATTATTTGTAAAAAGCCTGTGGGATGGTTGGCTCTGCTGTACTTTTATGCTCTTGGGGTACCCTCAAGATAAAGACGTATCCTGGTGCATTCTTTTTGTACCAAAGCCCATGTGTATCACAGAAGCCCTTGTACATTCTTAAAAATGTAGTCATTCTTAAGAATTCCATCCTAATAAAAGAAAGTGAAAAGAATGTTCTCAGTTTTGCTGAGAAACCAAGTATTCTGACCTATCTTCAGGAATCTGAAGAGGGACACAGGTGTGGCAAAGAAAACTCTGAGAACAAATGGAATTTAACTTTGCTTTGAGTATGAGAAAATGAATTTTGAAAATTTGTGTATTGGAATTGAAACTGGAACATGATACTTGGGTTGCAACACATCTTCAGAGAGAACATCTTTAAGGATTTGCTAAAAGTGCTTTGTATTTTGGTATAGCACATCCATAATTCATTTAATTTAGTCAGATTTCTGGAAGTGAGTCAGATGATTCAATTATTTTCAGCACAAACAGCCTCTGAAGTGTCATCCTCGGTATTATCAAGAGAAGTGCTCATAAACTGATGCCACTGTTTTCCCCCATCTCTTGGAAGTGATATGGCAGTTTGAAACTGTAATACCTTCAACCATGGTTATGACTGTAGTCCAGGTCTCTGACATACAATGAATCTATTGAATGCCATTCCTGATGTCAACGTGTCTTTTAATTGAGGAGAGGGCTTTCTGAAGCACAGTTTGTAGATGTGAATTGTGAGGATGTTATTGTATAAAGTTTTCTGAGAAAAACTTCAGAGATGGGAATGGCGGTAGCAGTGGAGGAAACTGAATTATTCATGCTGTGTTATGACTTAAAAGAAATTCAGTCTTGCTGAAAGTAGAACATGAGGAGAGTGAAAAAGGGGATGGAAAAAAGACCTTTGTGATATAATCTGTCAAACTCACAGCTGGGAAGATTTGAAAGGATTGCGGGCTCCAAGTGAGTAAAAGAAGAGACCTTTCAGAAAGTTCAACTAGCCTGGATATCACTTTAAACACTATTTAAACTCCCCTGTAAAAGAAACTAGGTTACTACAATGTGTGAATATATTTTTTTTCCCAATGTACTTTAGCTTACATAGACATTTAAGCAAAATTCTTAAAATGTTTTTACCAGTTGTTGGGCATGTGGCTATCAAAATTGCTCAGTCACCCAGTTCTGAAATATCCCGTATATCTGCAAAGCATTTTGAGGGGATACAGTAGAGAGAAGTCTTGCGTTAATTAACTGCAGGGTTTGATGTGTCCTGACAATTTGGAGTATGGTTTTTTTTGGTAGCAAGTTAATAAGAAAACAAAAATGGACAAAAGCTTTCAAATATGTTTGGCCTCAACTCTATGAAACAAAAATGTGTGACACCATGTAATGAGGAAGTGCCTAAACTGAAAGCAGTTGGCATATGGGAGAACGTCAGAGAGGGATGCTGTACGTGCTTAGCATGGTCCTAACCTGCCATCGGTACCCCTGCAGGGACCTGTCAGAGGTAGGGCTGGGCTTCCAGCAGTGATGTTCTTATGATTGCAGGTCACATGAAGCTCCCAAGCTGTTTCACGTGACCTGGTGTCCCAAAGGAAGCTTTAAACGTCATTTTAACAAGTCTGCTCACACTAGCCATAACCCCAAATCTGCACGTAGCCAGAAGCCGGTGTACTGCGTATCTCAGTCAGGTGATTCATTGCATTGGCTCACAGGCAGGAGCTGAGACTAGATCGCCAAAGGTATCCTCAGCTCTGTAGCACATGGGGAATACCTTTCTCCGCAGCCATGTCCGAGGCAGCCTACCAGCACTGACCTCAGCAGTTGCTCTTTTCTTCCATTTCAGGGACTGGGATTATCAGGCAGTTCCTACTGCCAGAGCATCCCTGCAGCTGGTCAGCCGAAGCCCTGGGGTTTGAACGGCCAGCAAACCCTGTTCAGTCCAAAAGCTGCAGGCTGGCTGTTCCCGACTTAAATATTAACAGATTCATTAGCAAGGTCAAGAACGACTTGCAAACAAGTCACTGAACTCTTTGGTGCCTGAATTGCTATCCTTGCCTACTAATTAGTTGTAACAAACAATAGGGATAAACATGAGCTGTCTAATTTTAAGTATGAGAACGCCAACCCACTGGACAGTAAAAGGGGAGGATGGTGTCATATGCACGGTGAATAGCTGTGAGACAAAGCCTCAAGTATCTGAGCCACAGTATTGCTGGAAAGATCTTTGAGAGAGGATCCTCTCTGGGGCTCAATATGACCTGGCTTACGCATCCTCAGCAGATCTCTCAGCTCAAGGGTAAATAGTAAACGATAAATTCCCACTGGCCTTGCCTTCTGCACCTCCAGCAGCTTCACACATTGAACCACGCAAATGCAGGAGGGGTTGGCATGGGCTGGTTTGACAAATTTTGCATGTTCCCCTCAGTTTTGGTTGTGAATACAGACTTTTTTTTCCCCCCTTGTTGAATGCAATGCTGGAGCTTTCAGTTCAAACAGACCGATATGGTTATATGAAAAAAAGCCAACTTTCACTCACTTTTACGTCAAACCACTCATTTTGCAAGCCAAGCCTGCTAGGAATTTGTCTCTGTTTAAGGGGCATTTCTCAAACTGTGGTTCATGGGCCGATCCCTGGACGACTCAGGAAGGTAGATATATTCCAATGCCACGCAATTTTACCACAGCTCTGTGTACAGGCTGAGTCATGACAAATCAGTATAGAAACCTTTTTAGAAGAAGGTTTAAAAATATACTTTTATGGTTTCTCTAATAAAAGGTTTCTAAGGTATATTACCTTTAGCAGCCAAAGGCAATCAAATTGTGGGTTGTTTTTAAAAAAACCACCAACTTAAAATAGAATATAGCATCAGTTAAATGTTCCCCCTCTTTGATGGCTAAAAATGCTATGAAATATTGATCAGCTCTTTGCTTGATTGTGTGCTGGTTTGTTTCAAATGAAGCATGTTGTTCAAATATTAATTTTGGGTAAAAAATAGTGTTTCAGTTAGTCTGTGCTTGCATGGAGGATGAAATGATATAGGGAGCTCTGTGTGTTTTCCCCAAAAGCATGGATGATTTATTTTGTGAGCGCAAATGTATTTTAAATATAAACTACAGAGGGTAAGAGGTTGTAGGTGGCTTTTTTCCTATTATTTTCAGGTTACCTGTAAGAAATTTTGTTATAAAAGTCAAGAATAGCCTCATTTAATCAGTTATAAAAGGTCAATGTAACCCTATTTAACATGCTTTCTTGCTAAGAAAAGATTATAATTTTTACTTAAAAAGGTTATTTCCATACTCCAGGAAAAAAATGAAATAAAAACGTAATAAATACATTCCAAACACACTTTTTTTGCGAAGTATGAATGGAAATATTCTGAGCAATTTATAAACAATTAGGACATTTTAGAAGGGAGAAAAAGATAATATGATGATTTTCTTAAATATGTGAGGCTTTAATTTTTCTTGTTGTTTTACTTATCCCTCTCTCTGGAAGTATCATCTTCCTTGGTTTTGCGGAAATATTTGTTTATAATGTTTCACATGTAGAAGGTTGTGTTAATTAGTTTGCTATAAAAAGTATCTATTTTTTTCTCCAGATTGTTACCCAAGCTGTAAATGGGTTCTATAGAGTTGCCCATAGGTTATTAGAAGGAGACCTCTCAGTTCAATTTTCTTCTACTGTGGCTTTTGTCATGTTTGTATTTTACTGGCTTTCCACCTACCATAAAATACATAACTTTCAAACTCAAACATTTTCCCCCAAGATGCCCCCCAAACCCCAAAGTAACAACCTGCAAATCTTTTTTTTTTTTTTTTAATTCTCAGTTTTCTTGAGCCTTAAAAATCTCCAGTAAATTAAACCACTTTTTGTTTAATCCCTTTGCCCATGGATTTACAGCAGCCATATAACTAGGTCATTTGTGACGCACTCTCCTCCTGGCATCGGTCCCTAGTTTAGCAGTAACACACGGGCATCTCTTGCTGTTTGTTGCTCATCAAACCCACACGGGGTGGTGTAATGGTATCAATTTAGGGGATTGATGAGAACGTTTTATTGTCAGCGTGATAACACTCGCGGTGATAGGAACAGCTAAGTAATCAGCTAAACGAGGTAGCTCTTTAGAAGTAGATTACTAGAGTGTATTGCCTCTTTTTGTGTTATAGTGATACCTTTGCTTGGCACCTCCTGTCTTACTTTGACTAAGAATGACAGCAGGTCCCAAGCATCAGGACTAAGCACAAATGCAGCCTTTCCTAAAGATGTAGCGTGGTAATGTGTGCTGCATCATCATCATCATCTACCCTGAATCCCAAAAATAACATTGAGATTTCAGATTTCTAAGGAAAATTGATTGACCTTCTCAAGATGCCTATTAAAAACACCCCACTCTATGTCCTTGCAAGGAGGAAAACTGCCTGTGAGGCAATCATGTACCTCTGTTAAACTTTTGATAACAGAAAAAGTTTGGATACCTCTCTTCTGAGAATGTTCAAAACTTTTATGTAGAAGGAAAGGGAAAATCTATACAGCAGGGCAGCTATGATATGAAGGGTCACTCTCATAAATTAATTGCTGTGCTTATTGACTGTTTAACTGTTTTTTTTCCAGGTCCTCCCATTATTCTATGGGCAGTCGAGCTTTTTCCCATGACAGTATTTTTATACCTGATGGGAGAACAGAGAGTGAACAGGCCATCCAAGCAATGTCACAGGAGAACGTTTTAGGAAAAGTCAAAACTCTTCAGGTAAGAAATTGTAAGTGGGAAAAAATATTTAAAATGTAGTGGAAAATGGTCTCCCGAATGTGTTAAAGGTGGATAAAGGTGTGTTGCTTTTTCAGTAGTCTTGGGGCATCTTCTCAGCTATGTACGCTCTCTGGCCAAAAGCCATGTAAATAATTCGGATAATCTGCAGATGATCTAGGTTTTGGTCTTGAAAGGTATGGCAGTGATGCTGCAAGCAAATCTGCAGAAACGTCTACATCTTGTGAAACTCATTTGAATTGAACTCCTGGTTTTGGCGTGTCCTGATCTGTATGCCTGAGACCTACAGATGTGGTACTGAGTGAAAAAATGAGGGTGGTGGTGGTGGCAGGGAATGGCATGCAGAGTGAGACTTATTTGCAAAGCTGATTTAATTATCCTTTTATACATATTACATTTTTTTCCCTCCTTTTTCTCCCTGTGCTCTCAGTGGTTCTCATGAAAGGTGGATACACTTATCTCTCCAAAGCAAACAGCACATAAGTAAATACATAAACACCACATCTGGGTATTTGCTTCTGAAGAGCTTTACATGACCTGCTTTCCCTTCGTTTCCGGAACTCTGTCCCATTAATGCTCCAACTAATGTTTTGCTTTACTTCTTGTACGTCTGTAAGATTCCCAGCTCACTGCTTATCTAGACCTTGAAAGAGCTGTCCTCCAGAAACACATTTCAGTTTGTTGCTCAGGATGCTGACATGTCCTGTCAAAACGCTGATAAATTTTTAACACTCTATAGGTGCCGTTACCCTGTAGCTGCTAGCTGACTAGTAAAATACCATTGATTTCTTTTCCCTCCAAAGTCTACCTATGGTCCGTCTTTTCTGATGAGTGAGAGATCACACACAGTAGACAGATCCAACCTTCAGGATGAAATTGTTCCTTCTTCCTGCCCGGCGCTGTCAGCAGAGAGAACACCTGAACAGCGTTGGCTGTGCTGACTGTGGATGAACTTTGAAGTCAAGACCACACTAGGACAGCTCCAATTTCCCTGTGCTGTTTTTTCAGCTTAAATTTCCCTGGGTCAGATAGATTCACTGCATGCTACTTTCCAGGCTAGAAACCATTCTGTTTTAAATGACTGCTGACTCTGGGTAAAGACGTGAGGTAGTTTACTTGGACCTGTCCTGCAGAATGCTTCAGTGTCTTTTGGATACAAAGCCCACTGGCTCCTGTTGGATCTGTTGTCTTGGCTTCAGTACATTCGCTTTTCTCTGAATACCTTTTCACTTTGCAGGAGTGGCCTTTTCCATTTCCAAACTCACCTTAAAATTTCCGATGGAAATTATTGCCTTCGCTAAACTCAGAGACATGATAAAAAGTAGTTACTGCAGTTGCTAACAACCGTCTTCACTAAACAAATGGTAACTCAAGAAAATTAAAGCAAAAATAATCACGCTTGAATAAAATAAAACCACAAAATAAATAGCCAGTGATATGCTCTTGCTCATGTGAACTTTGCATGAGCCTTTTTTTGATGTGGTTACTTGCATGTATTTTAAGGGGGGGTGTTGTTTCAGCTGCTTGATGTCAAAAGTGTGCTTACCTTTTTATTTAAAATTGAAGGACATCAGTTAATTTTTATCATTTTAGTATAGCTGCAACCCAGCCTGTAACAACATCCCCTATTCAGCTTTTCCCACTCTGCTGCTGATGGTGATATGCAGAGCAAACCATTCAGTCAGAAAGGAGATGTGTAATAGATTGTGAATGGCACTTTTAACTATTTATATGTTTACACAGAAGTTATATATTCATCTAAACGTCCATGGATTTTTTTTCATAATGCCATGGAAAGACTCCTTATAGCAAGCCCAGGGGCCACCTCTTGTATCTGCAAAACCTGCTGCCCGGTGTATAACTGTTCCCATTTCCCTAGCCATGGTTTCTGCAACTGTTTCCTGAGTTTTAGGACAAGATCATGCCAAAATCCCATTGCACATTTTTCGGTTGACCTTAGAGTTGAGTCCCAGGTCTGACCAGTTATTTGGAATATCATTCGTGTCTGAAGGTTTTATGCACTCCATACCCCATCCTTTTTTTTTCCTGCTGTAGCATTCTTAAAGGAGATGATGTTTGCTGTGTGATTTTGCATTCACGGAAAACTCTGACACTCAGTCTCCAGTTATCAGAAGCTTGTATCTACTTTGAAGTGCCTTTCTGCAAGCTCACTCCCACTGGGTGCATCTGTGTTTCTCGAAGTGGTGGGACAAGAGGAGACACTCATCTCTTCTGAAGGGCGCTCCACTCCTTAAAACCAATTCTGTGGCCAGCTCCCGGTGAAGTCATTGCTGCGCCACCAACATTACTGTGGTTTTGCCCAGGCTTGCATGTCACGGTGGAATCACAACATTTCCAGTTTCCATTTGCCTGGCAAGATGCTCTTTGGTAAAGAGGTGTTGCCAGGATGCAGTGCCCTGTGCTGGCTCCGAACTCGCTGTATTCCAGAGATTAAAATCTCTGCAAATTTTAACCTTTTTCAGGATTTTATTTGGGTGGGGGGTGGTGGTGTGTTACAGTGAACATTCCTGGAAAACTTAAATCTTTTCTGGAGGAGGGACCATGCTTACAAGCCCAACTGATAGCATAATGAAAAGCGTTTTGAAATCAGAATAGAATAGTACTGATGGTGCTGGATCTCATTCTGCTGACTGCCAAAGTGTTTACCCCTTCTCGCCTTGCATTTCTGCTGACTTTGGAGTGTTGATGAATCCACAAAAAACGTGGTGTAATGGGGCAAAACTCTGTAGCAGTCTGGGCAGCTGGCCAGCACGTGCACTGGTTCAGCTTCTTATTGAAGGAATTTTCTCTGATTATGTGTGCAAGGTAAATGAGTTCTTTCTGGAATAGCTCTCATTTCTTTTTATTGATTTTCAGATCGGCAGCATTCATCTTATCAGGCTTTCTGTAAATGGATTTGGTCATGTTCAAAGGTTTTAGTGTGTGCTAGAAGTCAGGCTGAGGAAAGCCTGACTTCTCGTTAACCTCCAATAGCCTTAGTCTATCCTGAAGTTATTTTGTATCAGCTCGAGCCATCTGCTGTTGTGAAAACAGTTTTGCCCTTGTCCTTTGGATCTGCTGAGATTTATCATTACCTAGTTTTTAAGCTCCGGTGTAGAAAGCCAGCCTGAACCTGCTCCCACAAGGAGATGGTACCCAGGCGCTGGTACTCTTAATGCTGAACTTCTGAGTTTCTTGGGATCTGGTGCTTTACTTCTCATACAGGACTGTGAATGAGACACAAGGAATGTTTAAAATCTAAATCTAGTAGCGTGTCAGAACAAACATAAAAGAAACTCTGGGAGCTTGTTTTTACACCCTTCCCTTTAATAAGTTAGTGGTTTTATTTTTTTTTCTTGCATCAAAGTATGTTAGATCCACTTCCTCGTATTTTGCAGCTGTGGCTCTTCTTCCTACTACTGATATTTGCCAGAAATAGCAAATGAATAGAAGACAATTCTTGTTTCAGACCCACAAAAAGTGTAGCAAGTAAAATGGAAACTTGTTTTAAGTGTTAGTATCTTGATGCCACTAAGGCTTTATCTCCCTTTTGCTGTGACAATACTGTGGTGTGGCACTGCTGCTGCCTCTGGAGGCATGAGGACAGCTTGTTCTCCACCTCTGGCCTTCACTGAAAGTATCTCGGGTCATCTGGCATCCATGAAACTGTGGCAGTCAGCTGGAAGAAATATCAAAGTTTGACTCTGGCGTATGGCTTATTGCATTTAGGAACTACTGGGCTACATCTTTCCTGTTTCATGTGGCCGCGTGGTTTAAAACAAACAAACCCTCTGCTCTGTAAATTTCCAAAACACCCATTTATTACACAGATAATTATAATAAAACTTGTCTTAGGAATCCAGACTTCTTGGTCAAATTCTAAAGGACCACTTTTTAAATTCACATTTCCCTGGCTTTGTAATGATTAATGTCCCCAATCATTTTCTTCTGTCGGACCTAATGACTGTTCAGTTTTAGATCCCATTTCTTTTAGTCATTAACATATCTTAGCTAATGATCAGTCCGCTGCTTCCCCTGCTGTGCATTGCGCTTCTGTATCCTACCAGCCCTTCCCATTGTTGTTGCTGTTTGATATTGTCCAGATCTCAACAAGGCTACAAAGTCGTTTGCTAAACCTCAGAGTTACTATCTTTTAACTTGACGCTTTGCGTTTTATAGAATTGGAAGTGAATTTTCACTGCATGTTTGCCCAGCTTTGTATTTCTTACAATTCATCTCTCTGTTGCCAATATTTCCTAGTGCCACTGCAGCCTAATTGTGTCTTCACATTTGACAATTGTTTTCACTTTATAAACTGAATTTATCTTTTTTTTTTTTTTTTTTTTAAATCATTCTAGCATTTCTGGGGCAGATGCCCTTTTTCCTGTGATCATATTAAGCCCTAGAAATGAGCTTCCGTTTTCCTTACTCACATCTGCTTTGCTTTTGGTACTCTGCAAGGAGATACTCAGGTGACAAGCGCCACAGATCCTATAAGTATCTTCAGGCTTTTCCAGAAAGTCTTGCTCTTAACACGGGAGCATCCGTAAGTGGTCCATTGCCACTGTATACCAAAATCTTCATTTGCATCTGGATTTGCTGCAAATACATGTCTCTAGAGATCTATATGCAGTTTGCTTCTTCACTATTCTTCTATTTCGGACTCTCCCAAAATCTTTCTTGAACCACGTGCTGCTCCAGTGATGGAGAGTGGAATACTTCCCTCCCTGCATCTTATATCCAAACCAGCTGTGGTAATACTTCTTATTTTCCTCCTTTTCAGTAGGTTTACATGTTAATTTTAGATCTAGTTTACTTTCCAAAGCTTCCAACCACACCAATATAACTTCTCACATGATGCTTTCTGGTTTATTCTCGCTCTTTGATTAACAAAAAATAATATTGATTGCTTATGTGGGGTGTTCTGCTTGTTTAGATATGATGCAGATTTTCCTGTTTGGATAAAGAAGTGGACTCACTTCCATAGAAATAACAATTATGTAAACTGTCTTTTCAGCCTAGAAAAGAAATTATAAGAGACAGAATATGATAGAGATGCATGAGTGGAATTGAGAATAGAGAACAATAATTCAGTCTTTCACAGCATGAGAACACATGAGCATCAGTTGAACACTTTCAAACCAAAACAAGTATTTCTTTATGTATAGTTGGACTGTAGAACTCATTGTCATACAGCACTGTTATTCGTGAAATATTTGTAAAAGTTCAAAGAGCAATGAAACAAATTCATAAAAGAAAAGTTCCCAACTGGCTATTGACTCCAAAAGTCCTCAGATGCCACAAATCATTGGAGCGTTTACAAGGAAAATCTCAGTACGGGCTTGCCCTCTTATATGTTCCCAAGGCATTTGGGTTTTGGGTCACTGTGAGAGACTGTACAGGACCATGTGGACTTTCAACAGTATGGCTCTTCTTAAGACCAGTATTATTGATTAAATCATTATTTCACAATTATATATAACTAGAAAACATAATTTCATTTATTTATATATCTGGGCATTGCAAACAGACATAAAAAATGGGTGTTTGAGTTGAAGACAAAATATGACCAGCACTTCTTGTAAGACATGTTTGAATGGAATCATACTGAAATAGTACACTCTGTTTTAATGATTTTTAACTGAACAGAGTAAGCAGCTCAGCGGATCCGGTTTTGGATTCGCTCCAGGCACAGAGCCATAAGAATGATGTGGTTTCGGGGGACTGAATCCAACACGCATGCAAGCAGGCATGTATGCAGAAGAGGAGCCAAACTGGAGTGAAAGAGGAGATGTACAGCCTGATCTGGGCGCTCTGCCGGTTAATATGGAAAATTTGTTCTGTGGCATTTCCTATGCAAACACAAAGAGTGCTTTGAAAGTCTGAGCTTTTTAATTTGCTGCAGGTGCCAACCAATGCAGAGCAATTTAACTTAGGAATTTTATTTCTGAAGTTATTAATCGTAAGCTGGTGTAAAGATGTCAGTTAAACAGCATCACATTTTAGCAAATTATTTTGCATGAAATAAAGTGGGCCTGTGTCATAGTCCAGTTACTGAGAAGATTTTAAAAATTTTTAACTTTTATTTATTGTTTTTTTTCTAAATTCCCAGTATTTCTTTGCTTTTATTAGATGTGCAGCTCTGCTCCTTGCCTCACGCTGACTGGCACCGCACCAATAGACACCCAGGTTGGGTGTGAAAAGGCAAACTCTCACGCACCTCTTGAATCTCGTAGAAAAAAAATCGGGGATGAGGTAAACCTGGACTGGGGAACAGCTTGATGATCCCATTCTGAAGCTCCCCTGTGGGTGTCGTCTCTCCAGCTGCTGTTTCATGGTATAATTGTCGTATGTGGTAGCCATGCTGGTTTGGTGCTGAGAACGGTTTGTAAGTGCTGTGGAAATACCTGTCCACTGGCTGCAAACTGAGCGACTGGGAAAGCCCGTTGGAGCTGATAAGGCTGGTAGTGGAAACGTTCATCTCTTTCCTTCTGCTTCTAGCTGACAGCTAGATTTTCGTGCAGGACAGTGATTTCTGGCTGCTAAATTACAAGCTTTCTTGCATAAACCAAAAGAGACCAGGTTCATTTAACTGAGACCAATATGCATCTATGGAGATTTCCAGAAGGATATTTAAACACCCTGTGCGTGACACCGCAATGGTAGAAGAACAAAATGTCATGCCTGCAACTTCTAATGACCAGAGTTGCAAATAATCCTCCTTAGGCAACCATCGTCTGCAACGCTGTCAGCACAGGGAATCCTCAAGTGCAGAGAATTTATGGTTTTGTGCTGAGAAATATATGTCTAACTGAAACTTTTGAGACATTTAAAGCAGATGCTCCTTTTCAGGGAATATGGCCTCTTCTCAATGGCCTTGCAGCTTAAATTTACGTAACTTTCCATCTCTGGGTTGGACTGTGCGTGTTCTTCCAAGTAACAGTTGTGGGGTTTTCTTTTCTTTCAGGGATGATGGATTTTAAGGGTTTTTATGATTGACCAGGTAGAGAATGTATCTGTATGAATTTTTTTGAGAGAGGATAATTGCATTGTACTTACAGCATAAGTACATTTTTAAAAAGAATGAGGAGCAGGTTTTACATTGCTCTTTGAAAGCATTAAGAATAAATTTGCTCAGTGGTAACAATAAGCTATTTGAGATTTTCACATTTAATATTCAGCACCAGCTTTGGAGATTAAAATGCACCGAAAGAAATTGGCTAGTGGAAAACTATTAGTGCCATCAATTTAAGCTAAATTTGTTTAAAAATTTTCAATAAATAAATAATACAGGAAAAAAGCCTTCTGTCCTGAAAGGAATGTGAGGGCTACTAGAGTTTCTCCTTCAATATTCAAACTAATTTATGCAAGTCTGAGCAAATAAACTCCTAAAACTTTGAAGTAATTTAAAACCAAAACTGTGTATGGTCCATAAATACTGAGGATACTCTATTTCCTGGAAATATCAGGAAAATAACACTTTAAACTTTTATATACGCAAATACAAGATGTATTTTTACAGCAGAGCCCTTTTTAAAGCACGGACCATTCTCCACAATAGCTCCATCACCACACAACTCCCACTGGGCATTGCACACACAGTAGATCAAGAACTTGATCAGAAGATCAAGAGAATAACACACCATCCCTTCTTCCAAAAGACATTGCAAGCAATATGTACATGCGTTCTCACCACGGAGCAGATGCACAAATCCTTAGTTTCTTGAGTTGTTGCTCGGGTAGTGCTGACAGTTCCAGTTTTCTGCCTGGGGGAACTATTTGTATAGGAATACAGCTTTTCTAAGAAGAAAGGAGCAGCCTCAACTTAGAAAACGTGTTACCAAATTAAGACGCTGTTCTGAAGTAATTTTGTAGTAGCATCAGAGGACCTGCAAGAATAGAGCAGAATTACAGCCTTCACACTATCTAATACAGACCTGTTTGCTCTCTCCAACTCCCATTTATGCGGTAGAAACATGTAAGATTTCAAGTCTATGGGTGCACCTCCAGTAGTCTAGGTGAGAATAAAACTCTGCCATTCAAAACTGCCCACTATGCCAAAATCCAAATGGGCACGTAAATAATGCGTAACTCAGAGAGGAGACTGAGAAAAATTATTCTATTTTAATAACCTGATTATGAGGGGTCTCTGCATGTACTTTGTGTCTTAATAGTTCAGTACAGAAATCTGGTAATATTTTGGGGTAATATGGATAAGCTTTATGTAAGAATCTAGTCCACTGGGCAATGATGGCAAGCAAGACTGATCTCACCTGAATCCTTTTCGAAGTCCATCCACTGCTAAAGCATATCAGCCCTTGCCAACTGCTGACCTAAGCCTCACTATTGATTCTGTGGTACAGGGGAAAAAAATAAATCTTTGTTTTACATGATCTCTATTCCAATATTCTGCAGTTCTGAGCAGCAAACTCATGTCAGGGGTCCATCTATGTACCTGACATTCCCGCTGAATAGAAGCTGCAGAGCTGAATTGAGTATTGCTGAGCTGTAAATGTTTATAGTAACACAAGACAGAAATGGGAGATCTCCTCTGGAGAATTTTCTGTGCCTGAGAGTAAAGCACAAAAATAACTCCATGGTTCCTTCCTTCCTGAGAATGATTCCCTGAAGTATTTCAGGAAGAAAATCTATCAGTGTGTTCCTTACTCCATTTGCTCCTTCTAGAGAATTTCTTCTAACTCTTTTGCAAAAAGTTCAGTTTCAAAGACTGTATGGTATGTGTCTCTGCAGTAGCCAGGGCTGTAATTTCTCCAATTCACCCTACTAGAGGACAGATAGTACATGCTACTTATTTTACTCATCTCACACTTGATGATATAATTCAAAAGTACTTTCTTGTAACCCTTGAGAGATTACTTCAAAAAAGGAAAATAAATAGTGGGAAAGCCCTTTTATCCATTCATCTACTGCACGTCCCCTGCATAAACTTCTTTGTGCAAAAGTGATGATGTGACAGTGTACGTGAGCATGAGCAGACCTGAGTTTGTGTGCTGTTCCTATGAGATCAAGCATCTAAAAGAAGCTGGGTTTCCCCTCCTTTGAGAATTTGCCTCCTCTAAGGCAAGGTTATGCCAAACCCGTAACATTTAAAACTTATGACTAAACCTAAAGGATCTCTTTAAGAACTACAGATGCATGAGATGCAGGGTTTGGAGGCTGGAGAAGAAAAAGGTTGCCTTTGGGGGCTGTTTTAGCTTCTCAGTGTACACTTGGCTCAGATCTTATTTCTTTGCAACAGTAAGGCTTCATAATTAGCTTTTATAAACAAAGTCTTAATCTAGGAGGTAGATTAAGAAAAGAGAAGGAATGTTTCAAAATTCACAATAAGTTTTCAAAAGCTGGCAACACTGACGAGAATTCAAGCTGATCATCCAAAATCAGAAGTCATGCAATAAATTCCTGACCTTGGTCACTTTGCAGGGAGAAAGAAGAGGGGGTGGCCACTGTGTTGCAGCAATGTGAGCCTCAAGTTGACCTTTTTGTCCGAAGTCAGAAGTTACCCTGAGTGTTTCTGTGCAGCTTTCATGTGGAGAAGGGGTGCGTGCTAGACTTGTCTTGTTTTGCTCATAATATAAATACCTTTTTTTTTCTTTTCTTTTCTTGTTTTTCAGCAACAGTTGGCCAAGAACATAAAATTTGGGCAGCCTCCACAAATGACAGTTTCTGTGAGGACAATAGGGGAGGCAAACGCTAGTATGGAAGAGGATGTGCTGCTCAGTAGCCCCATGGAGATTGAGACTCAGCAGGACACAGTGATCTCAGACAGTGGTAATAAAGTAAGCACTTTAAATCGATGTTTTCATGGCATTATAGCTGTATTAAAGCAGCAAAGTTCACTGGGGCGTAGCAGATGTCTCCAGTGAGGCGTAGCTGAGCTCAGTGTGCTGTTTCATGTGGGTGGGATCTCTCCAGTCATGCTTCCTGGACTGGTGAGAAGCGTGTGCTCTTGGCATCCTGGGCCAGGTCCCACGGAATTACCAGTTTGAATGTCTGCTCTGAACTTCCAGCAATGCAGACATCACTCGCAGTGCTGCTAGAAGACAGGAAATTTTTCTGAGACAGAAAATGTCTTGAAATATGGACGTCCCAGAATGGAAAGTTGGGTGCAGCATCGAATGGCAAAAAGGAAAATCATTCCAAAATGAGAGGGGTCTGGAGCTTAAATCTGTAAAATCCTGGGTCTTGGGGTAAATATCCATATTTCTCATGGACAGGAACTGAAGGCAAAGAAGGGGGAGAAACATTTTGAGAATGGTCCCTAAATCCAAATGGCCAGTATAATTCAAATAATTATTCAAATTATGCATGAAGATTTTGATACCAGGAACCGTAGGCATTCTGGTGTCCAGAAAGGGCTTGCTCAGGCAGTGAAGAAACACAAGTGATGGAAGCTCTCCAGAAATTCTCTAAGGCAAGACTGGTTCTGTGTGTTGCTGTAATGGCTGGAAGGAGTGCCAGGGACAGAGGGACATCCTTCCCAGCCCAGAGGAGGCTGACTTTGTGCCTGGGAACCCTTGGGGAGGGCACGCAGCAACCTACCATGTGCATTCAGCCCCTGAGATCCTGGAGGGACACCAGGACATGGCCTTCAGGTCGTGTTCACTAGTGCTAGCTGTGGGAAAGGCAAAGGCAGTAAGCGGCCTCTGCAGCTCGTGCCTGTATTCAGCCAAACAGACAGAAGGGAGATTTATGGCTGAAGTGGCCCAAATTCCTCATCAGTCTTCAAGGGGCGTCATAGCTCCTCTGTGACCACTTCCTCCGCAGCTGTGGTCAGATCTGTCAGGGACCCCAGGCATTTGGGTAGGACCTGCACACTCATGCCTCTCCCTCTGCAGTCTGGAAGGATAAAAATGCAGTCAAAGTAAGGTGTATTTCTTCTGCTTCACCAATACTCCCTTTTGAAGCAATCAGTTAAGGTGAATCCAGAGCATACTGTGCGCACAAAAAGTGCGGTGGGATTGTGGACAGGTTTTGGCTAGCTACCCTGGTACTAGGCAAGACTCTCCGTTTGACACCAACATACATTCTCTGCAGACAGACTTCTTGCTGGGTCCTGCAGGACACCCAGATGTCACCTAGTGACCTCCAGCTTGAAGGAGCAAATAATTCAAGCACTAGAAAAAACATTGAAGTATTTTTCTGTAATAAGGAGGGAGAGATTCAGTCCTTAGCACCTCTACTCTTTTAATTATTATGTTTTGAAAACAAAATTAATGCCCCTTTGCATAGTTCTTTTTCCAAATATTGAAGGAGCAAACGTCCCTACTCAGAGGAGGTTGCAGACACTAACAAACCAACGGGACATGCACAGGGTCACCCAGAGCACTCAGCACTTTCCTTTTCTCTTACTGTGTGCCACTCATTACCTGCTTTATCCGAGATGCCTGGTGCGCGGCAGCTTGCCTGGTTTCTGTGCTTCTGTCTCTGCTGTTGGCCTTGTACCTCCTCTGCACGTTTATCTGCAAAGGTCCCAAGGGGGACGGGGGGGCTTCTGTCAGGAGTTGGTGGCCAGGACCACGTAGCCCTGCTCTACTTCAAACAGGTTTTTTGTCTTGCTTTGTAACTTTTGATTTTCCCAACTGAGTAACTTGGATTGACGGCAAGAGTTCTGCATTTCATTTAACCTGTGTTTCTAAAGCTGATTGTTTAGGCTTTTACACTGGTGCACCTGGTGTAACGGGATCCAAACATTCATTAGTTCATGAAGTAATACTGCGATATAATGATTAAAAACAATGTTTCTGAGTGTGAAGAATGCTGCTTCAACCCCTGCACCTTAAAAATCCGCTCCTATGAGATGGCTCGGAGAGGGACATTAGCTAAGGAGTCCTTGATAGGCTCCAATTGCTCTGGGGGAGCTCGTTTGCTTTGTAGGAAGAGTCGTCGTCAAGAATCTGGAGTTGAAACTCTTTGCAGCAGAGGTAATGCCTGATCAAGGTCCTATATTTTTTTCCCTTAGGTGTAGGTCAGGAGAAAATGAAGTTATTAAGAGCTGATTGATATCCTACAAAGCTGTACTTTTTCTTTTGATTTGGAACCTGGTTATCTTCTTAAGGAAGCGTGTTTTGCCTTTTGTAGCAGCAAAGGGAAACTCATAGCATTTAGGAACAAGAATTGTTTATCCATCAATCCTGCAGTGACAGGAAACAGGCTAAAAATCCTACTCTGACATGCCTGATTTCACAAGTGCTTTGAACCATGTTTATTAGATCCTTTACATTTTAATATCTAGCTGTGGTACTCTTCTTGTTTTCTAGTCCACTGACACTGGAGATTTCTTGAGAGCAATGAATTTGCCTGTAACAGGACATGAAGTGGAAGAAAAGGTATCAAAACTTCTATACTCGATTTGCACCAAGTTAATTTCTAATTTTAGTTATTAGAAGCCTGACAGTCAGGTTTTGCTTGAATACACATTTCATTGTTCCATGATCATCCAAAGCTGTGTGAACATTGCACAGTTTGGGGGCTAGTAAATAAGCAATAAGTAAGATTGAGAAATCTGTAAGAGTCGAGTGCAAGAAACAGCAGAACTCAGTCTCTGCCAGTCT